GAGAAGGGAGCAACACACACACAAAAACTTCATATTCACCACTTGTGCTGCAATGCTTCTAAAATCAATTTTATGACCAGTCCATTGTACCTGCTGGCATCACAATAACTACATTGAAAAACAGTAGCAGCCTCAAACTGCGAGACACACCAACAACAACAAGTTTAATTTAACTTTGTACAGGACTGCTGTTGGGGGAGGTTTACCAGAATGAATTCACTTTTTATGCCTATTTATGGGCAGCAGAACAAGCTCTTTAAGTGTGAGCAAACATTTTTCTATTTAAATTTCCAGTAAATAGGCAACATCAGCTGAAGGTGGGAGTCATATTTCAATTCACTGAATGTGAATGCAATTTATTCTACTTTTACACCATTTTCCTCTGCTAAATGCTTAGCTGCTGATCAGCTAGTAGAAAACTTTGTCATTTGTGCTGGAGAGGGAGTACAATTGGTGTTTCAGACTGTTTTTGCTGAAAGCAGCTTCCTGCTCCTGCTGGAAATCGAGATGATGAGAAGACAGAGTGAATCATACAGTAAAACTGTGGGCCATAAAACAAACAATCATCTGAAAGACACGAAAACGCCAGCGCTAAAGTCTACTGCGGAGACAGGATGTAATTATCTATGGGTTTGCGACAAACTTTTCGTTTGATCCGTTTTTAAAATAAAAATGGGAATTTGTGCAGCTTTAAAAACAGTGTGATTTTCACCCACTAATAATGGCACACAGATAACACAGAAAAACACACACACACACACACACACACACACACGTCAATGAGCTGCACTGCCTTGGAATAAGGTGGTTCACTGAACAACACAATAGTCTGTGGACCAGCTGCTAATCCACCACCCAATCACGCTGCAGAACAGTGGCCAGTATGCCCATTTATCATCCACTTATGGGCCAGCCTACTAACCAGTGACTCGTGAATGGAGGTCTGTCGGGAGGAGGGAGCTCTTTGGGAAAATGCAGGTGGCCACATGTACACCATGCCAGGAAATGTACTTGGAATTACAAATGTATACTTTTATACTAGCATAGATTCCAGACGGTGATATTTGGACAGTTAAACATTTAAATGTATAAACCTTTTCAAATTAAAGTGTGTAGCATCCATTATTTTATTTTTCATCATTTTTGAAATTGAATGACACAGAGCCTGAAGAAGAAAACCTGTGTGGGCCTCCCTGTCCAAAGTCTTGGACAGTGTGCATCTATACATATATTAAAAACTGAACAGTATAATGCTGCTATATTGAAGTGCATGAATCAGTTATTTGTTATGTATCCTGCATCTCCTTCTTTCATTTAGCTTTCATCTCACCATATTCTGCAGTATTCCTGTCAGCACAATCCACCCACAAGCACACATAGACACACAATCAGACCCACACAAAACTGTTGTAGAACTAGTCTCCCCTCTGTTATTGTGACAGATCATAGATCAGCTCGCTCTATGCCCCCCCTCCTTTGCACACACACATTTTCTCCTCTCACAAATGCAGAGCATGCACAGATAAGTTCGACTCCTCCCCCGTCTGTGGAGTCGGTAATAGAGAAGCAGACCACAGTTCCTCGTTTTCCACCTGCAGCATTGACTTACTGCAGACACAGTGTGAAGCCGAGCAGCATGGAAGGCGAGACACGAGGAGAGGCTGATGGGGAGGGAAAGTGGAGGTAGCGCGAGATGTGGAGGATGAGAGGACAGGTGAGGGACAGAGAGGAAGAGAGAGACAAAAAAAAAAAAAACAGTGTTAGGCAGAAAGACAGAGACAGACAGAGTTTGGTTGGAGGGACGTGACGAAGAGATGAAACATTCCACCCATCATTAGTGAAGTTGTGCCAGTTTCCGAAGTTCCCCCGAGGCCTTAATATGGAGGGTCGAGCTGGGGTCGCGTCTTTCAACTCCACCTGGCTGCTGTTTCAAACAGTCAGCAGTACACGAGATTCGCTTTCTCCGGCACTGCTGCTGGGAACTTAAAAAAAATAAAAATCACAAAATCCACTAAGCCTTTTACTATGTAACCTTAAAGCCACGTTGCCTAGAAACATTTGGTTTAACTGACTGGTTGAACCGCTCTCGTGGCAAAACGGTGTAGTCATTTTGGAAAACATTTGCTGCCTGAGATGAGCCCATCCTATACTTGAAACACAGAAGTGCATGGCAAACATAAGGCCAGTGATGGCCTAAACAAAACACTTCTGTACTAGTTTCTACAACCCGCTTCAAAAGTGTTTCTCCAGCTGCTCTAACACTGACTTCACAGAGGGGATCAGCAGTATGTTCTGTCTGGTGCTCCGTCTGTGTCTAAAGAGGATGTGTTCAGGCACAATGTGGAGCTGAAGATCACCCACGTTTTGGAATCAGTCAGAGCTCAAAACGCAATCACTGCAACGTGTGCAGGAAAATAGACTTGAAGTGTGAAAATACACTTTCATTGCCAGTAGAAAGGTACAGACAGGTGCAGGATAAAAAAACAAAAAACAAAAAGTGTCTTAGTAAGGTTTTCAATGCTCTTTGGCATTTTTCTTTTTAGAACTGTGACCATATTAGCTGCTACAAAGATGATGCCAAACAAAATTTAGTTGTATTTTTGTACAATGACAAGCTTTTTCTTCTTAATTCTAAAAAAAAATATACACAGTTCTTCCAAATGATATTCCCTCATTTGGTATTGTGGTGGAGAGCTTCACATCTGTCCAAAACCTCCTTTAGGAGATGGTGGCTGTGAAGGTCACAGCATATGATTTACATCATTTTCATACTCATCAGCCCATGTAGTGACCACTCATGCCCTATGGATGGGGGAACTGTCTTCCTGGAAGAGACCCCTACCATCAGGACAAAAATGTTTCATCACAGTTTAAAGGTGACCCCTCAGGACAATTTTGTATTGATTTGCAGTAACCCAAACCATCCCAGAGAGGTGTCCACCACAGCATAACCGGGCCACCAGATCCAATCACTGTGGGAGTCAAGGGTTCACGTTTTTCCTTTACCTTGTCACCCATCCGTATCCGTTCCACAGGATGCATATGAGATAGATGACTGGGAAAACATGTGTGACGACACCACAATGATTCTGGTGAGTGGAAGTTTACTGGAAGACTCCTGCCGGGACCAGCGGGATAAATCTGGGTTCATGGAAAGAGTGAAAAAGCTGCTGTTTGCTAAGGTGCCCTTGGACGAGGCACTTAACCCCCAGCTGTTCCAGTGGAGCTTCCAGGTGTGAATTTATAACTTCAAATGCGGAGCAGGCAGCTCCCGGAATAGAAAAAAACCTACATGGCAAAGCTACATGGTTGAAAAAAGGCTGTAAAGGTTATTTTAAAGAGAGGCTATATGATTTACAGAGTGAACAGAAGTCTAGAATTCATTAACCTTTAGTTGTTTTAACTTTCCTATTTTGATTGCCTTTCAATACTTTTCAAATGACCAAGAAACCCGCCTAATGCAGCGTTTATCAAGTTTATAACATGAATGTAAAAGGATGTGGAAATCGCTGTATGACAGGACAATAATTCTGACAAAAGCTGTTTTGCATAATGATAGATGACGTCTGTGACTAAACACGCACGCGCAGATTGTTTTTAACTGTTCATTATGTTTTATGGTTGAAACACTGTATGCACAGATGACTATACAAGTAGAGAAATGCTTTATAGCCCACTTGTGCACCTCATAATCGGAAGGTCATACAGATATTTTATTTTCTGACAGCCATTATCTATATGTTCAGCATGTAATGTGTCTGACTGGAGTGTTGCATTGCCACGTTTCCATCTGGTAGTACCAAGGTTAACTATTGTTTACCTGTAAACAGGCGAGATCACTGATAGTTCCACTTGTCTTCAATATAGTAAATGAAAAGCATGCAGATCTGAGTGGAGGAGGCAGATGAGAATTCATTTTGATTTACTATAATCTTGTTTTCTACCGTAAACAGAAAGCGTACCTCAACTTTGTAGCTTTTAAAAGAAATAACACACTAATACACTGGTATGGCAGGCAGATTATGGTGGCTAATACTACCTAATGATACATTTTAGGTATAAGTAGCAAGTAGATAACACAGCAGCACTGTGTATGGTTGGGTGATATATTAAATTTTAGCGACAATAATGTTTTTGCATGCCATGTTAATTGTCTAATCAAGTGATCCAATATGAACAAAAAAGTCTGCTGTCATTTTAAGAGTAGTGTATTTTTTAGTAATCTTAAATCACGGCAGTGCCTTAAATTGTGATGTGAATGCACACTGGTAACGTTAACACCACTGTAGTGACTCCAGGTGCAAGTATGTGCACTTCCTCGAGTAGCAACTTGAGGTGATTTCAAAAGTGAGTCAGTCATGAACCACCATTATAAAATATACAGCAGAAATAAACATACTGATAGCCTGGATTGGACAAAATGGTCTTGGTCTCAACAGTTTGAATTCATGACAACTGTAAAGGGGATCAATTTTTGTACAACTCACCTGTTCAAATCATACCAGGGCTTAAAATTATGCACCAGTAAGTGTGTGACCACTCTGATTTATTGGTGGGAGCTGTCACAGGCCAGTCGATGGGCCAGAAACATTTGCATGGCTCACCTTAGCTCCACTCTCACTCCACTTGCTTGCTCACTTTTGGATTAGACGGGTGTTAGGCAGAATCAAGCACTGGCAAGATGGCGGTCAGAGTCACAACTCTGAGCTTCAAAGCCACAGGTCAGTAAACCTATGGCTGACGTTGCAGCGAGTTCATCCATCTTTATATACAGTCCATGTTGCTAAATAGCCTTTTACTGTTGGAACCAACTGCAGTGGAATTTGTGCTGGGGTATTATACACAGTTGTGAATTCACCACGTCAGCGCTTACTGTACATGTAATTTAACCCCCCCTCAGCCTATATTAGCAAACAGCTTTTTGAAAATGTATCAAATCAAAGCATAGTTCAGCCCACACTGCAACAGTGAATACAGTGAAGATGCAAAACACACGATGGTCATTCAGAGGAACATCCGTTTGATGATGACTCATGATGATGAGTGGTGCTTTTGGTTGACTCTGTCGCAGAACCTTTCTCAGAGGCCACTTTTGCAGACAGGGTAGCAAGGCCCTGTTTTAGATACAAGTCCTCAGCATTCAAGTGTGCAAATGGAATTTCTCTTCAATTAACAATTGTTTGGTGTGTTTTTTTTAGACAGGGTTCGGGGTTCATTTTGTACTCTTGCAGCCGCCCTGCAGTGTCACTGTGCTGCTTTGACGCCACTGCTCTGACTGGTGGGTCCAGTCCTGCATATTGGTGACCTGTACTGACAAAGGGCAGTGGGAGGCCTGCATGTACTCTGGCAGAGTCCTGAGTGATCTGGTAGCATTCTCCCTCTGAAAAGGGAAAACTATTTCCTTTTCTGGTGCAGTAAATACAGTATGCATTTGAATAACTGTAATGCTAGAATGTGGGGCTTTCTACACCCTTGATGGCTGATGCTTAATAACCACTGCCAGCTGCACTGTACTGACTTGATAGAATTGTGCTTTATTTAATGTGTTGAAATCTCAATGAGGCAGACCATTAAATTAGCAAAACAAAATGGAAAAAAAATCCCCTTACCACATTCATACCTATGTGGCACAGCCTGCATTTTATGAATGTGTTTCACCAGCCCTTGTTGTTATAAATATTTAACTATCTTGCACATGAATTAGTACGAAAAGAATTTTACTTTCTGGCCAAGTCACCCAACCCTTATATTTTTGGTTGAATTCAAACTTTTTAACACTTCTCCATCTGTTCCACTACATTTCAGCATCTGCTGCTGCTATCAGAAAAAGTTTCATAGTTTGACTTTAGCTGTGAATAAACTACTTTTCCTTATCCTCTACCTTGTATAACAAGGATAAACCTCTGTCAAGCACTGACACCGACTCGCACACGAGCACGCAACACGCCTCCCAATTTCACATGTTCATATACCTACACACACTCAATATGAAAGAACGAGAATCAAGACGAGAGAGTGTAATTGCGACCTAAATCCAGTGATTAGAGGGAGTGGAGCGGAGAGAAGCTGATCAGCTGATTTGGTTGATTAGCCTGACGCTGACAACTTTAATTCGCTGCACAGAGTCAGACAGAGGACATGGCAGCATAAAGGAGTGTACCACAATCTCTTTTTATTTGTGGAATAACCTTTCATTCACTTAGTCAGCAGTACCTGGGCAAAGATTGAAAGAGAAAGTGGTTGTACTGTGTGCATTTGCGTATTTATGTGTATCACGAGTCTGCCTTCCTCAAGAATAAACATTATCTACTAATCAAGGGTTCTTTCTTCACCTTTTTAGTGTAAAGTAACAGACATTTATCAGAATTACATCTGGCACTTCCTCCTACATGCAGAAAATCGTAAGTACAAGTCAAGACACCAAGCGTGCAAGGTACTTCACAGCATGCTAAACACCTGAACCAAAATGTGTTTTTTGAAGCTAAGTCCACTGTCCAATATTCAAAGGCGAACATGAAGAGCTGTCAAACTTTTCCTTTTCGTCTTCCCCCCCTCAAGTCTCCTCATCCCTAACTGCTGCATACAACGGCAGTTTGGCAGAGGGTCAAACTATAAGGCTCAATTCTCAGAGAGGGGGTAAACTTTCCTCCTCTTCATGATGAGTGTCTTGGCTCTGAGTGCTGGTGCTGAGGAGCTGATGTGTCTGACAATTTGATGGAGAATTGCCAGAAGCGAGGTTACCCTATGTGTGGTGTGGTAGCAAGGCGGATGTAGTTCTGAATATGTGAGCTCTTGCCTGACTGCCACTGCCTCTCCCCGCAGTGCCGAGGCTGAAGGGCAGTCTTGTTCATGCAGAGGGTCCTAATTTAAGAGTGGTGCTGATCAAGCAGAGCGTCTGTTACCTCGGCACAGCGGCAGCTCTATTGGGCACTATGGTAGAGAGGGAATTTTTTTATTTTTTTATTTTTATTTTTTTCAAGGAAGAGTTACTAAAACCAAATTTCCTTTTTTGTCCACCTGAGCCAGTTCTATAATTCCATGTCTGGACTTGATACCAAAACTGGTGGGCATCTTGAACATGCCAACTCAAAGCAAAAAAGTTCAACTGAACCGAACCATTTCCTTAACTCAAGTTGAAGTGGACAGAAAAATGTGGCATTCCTAAAACCAAACTTCTCTGGGGTGGTGATCGGTCATAACCATACATATCAAACAGAACATAAAAGACAAATGACTAAACTGTTGGCTTTTTACCGCGTGTTTGGCAGCATGACTGCTTGATTTTGTCCTGTTGAAGGTTGTATTAACAGCAACATGTTTCAAGATCTCTTGAAGGATTTTTAGGAGTACATCATTATCATAATCACTAGAACAGCTGAAGTTATGAAAATAAGAACTAGTGATAAAAGGTACACTAAAAGGTAAAAACAAATGTAGCACCAGCTGAACCAATGCCATCAGAATTGATCAACTTTGACAGTTTGCCAACATTTTTTAATGCTGTTTATATGCATTTCCCTGCAAATTGTTTTAAGGGTGTACAAAGCTGGAGTTTTAAAAGATTGGATCCCAACATAAATTGGCTGTTAAGGAGGACTGGCAATACATAAAACCAAAATAAGTTCTCTTATGTGATACATGCAACTTGAGAAAACTACAGAAAAAACACTGCAACATCCAAATCAGCTCATCCTTAAGTTTTAGCATAAATGGGGAAGACTGATGTTCTTGAGTAGAAAGAGGAAGAGTTTACAACATGAGCCAGCAGTCTGAGAAAAAATAAAATGTGCATGATTCACCAACGGGCACATGGCAGCTCCCTGAACTGATTCTTTTTCACTCCTTATTGTTCCAGTCTGCCATCATAAAGTTCTTCCCCAAGCCCTTCATGTGTCATCTTAGAATCAAAGAGTTATCCATGAGGACACCTCATCAACAATACAAGAAATCAGTCGTTGCAAAAGTGTAATATCAAAGCGACACACCCCTTTGTGAGAAATTTGTTCATGATTGCACGCTGCAGCTCATCGCACCGCTCTGATGCCACATCGGTTTCATGATAGATTCAGCTCAGGTTTACAATTACTGCTAGTTCGTATTTGTGTTACAGTTCAAAAATCTCCAGACTATTCCACTTGATTATTTGATGCTTAAATGATTAACAACTTTACAGTGAAAAGAGAAATTTTTTTTTTACAAATCTGTGCAAGCATAATTAATATTGATAAATTACAAAACATTAAATGTTATCACTGTTGTATGATCTATTTTAATTGTGCATTAAACAGCTGTTAGAAGTATTTTTTTTCCCTTTTAATTACACAAAAAAGCTAATGTGTGGGTTTAATAGGGATATTAATTGTTATCAGAGTATTCAGAAGCTCTACTGACATTATAGTACAAGATGACTATCTATTATGCCATTATATCTGCTGACACACTTGCCATGCCCTTTTAAACTGCTCACTGATGAAGAACAGAGTTATAAATAAGTAGCTAATAATCAACCATCTTTTTAATCAAGCCCCAAAAACATTTCATTACTGCAGCATATTGCTCATTTATCTGTTGTTTTTAGCACCATCCTGAAATTAGAGACCAAATTAAGTGAAGAGTCATTATAGATACATATAATTTCCCTTTAAATGTTTAACTCCCTATTTTGTGATGATCTAAATACCGGCGCTACATCCTGCTGTTAGTCGTCGGACTTTCGGAGAGCAGCAAAGCAGCACAGAAGCAGTTGCAGCGCAGTCGAATTAAGCGTGGGTAAACACACATTTGTAATTTAATCGTCTAAGATTTTTAGCAGCCCACACTGTTCCCCAGTCCTTGCAGTAATTGCAGCAATTAGATTTTTATGCGCGGTGAAAACAAAAACACTAAAACACAATAGAACAATGCCTTTGTTTGTATGGAGCCTAAAACAAATGTTTCTGACAATGTAATGGTCTCATGGGTGCCCAGACCAGACCAAACAGTGCTGTGCCTGAATGATTGATTTTCAGCAGTGACATTTGTACAGGCTGCTGGTTGTTATGCTATTTGTTAATGCACCCACTGTAGAGGTATGTCTCAGTTGGTGTGCGGCCGACTCCACAATAGAATGGGATTTTCATTCAAGGACAAACATTTAAAATTAAGTGCATTCGGGGAAGGCTTTGGAGCAGACACTGAGCTGCACACAGACGCTTTTACAATTAAATTTAATTAACTCTGAGGGACTTTATCAGCAGTTATTTCGACAAGTAATGCAACATTGCTTTGAGCAGTCATCACACCGCCATAGGTTAACAGCAGCCCTATTTGTGATACAAATTCTCAGTCGTCTCACGAGGATACGGCAGATGGTTTACTCAGCGGGAGGCCATTGGGCAGATAATTTGTAATTCCAACGTTTATTTAAAATACATAACAGGCCTGCTTTGATTATTGCAAATCGACTTATACATTTTTTTTTCTGATGTTTCTTTTTCGGCCTCTCCTCGCTGCAGTGCTTTGGAGTACTGAGACAATACAGGACCGTAGTTTACTTCGACCCCGCGCTAATAAAGTGGCTGTTGGGGAGATTTGCAGCAGATAGCAAGCGACCATAACAGCTCCACTGAAGTGCAGTCTCATCATTTTACACATGTAAACAAAATTACTGCCCATAAAGCAAGTGCTGTTAGTGTAAAGGTAATATAAAGTTACAACAATCCTAAGCTGCACAAGTGGAGGGGTATAATATTACCCAACATGGGCCTAATTTTCACTGCAGTGCTAAGAGGTGGTTAGGTAGCAAGTAAATGCAATCTACTGTAATGACAGACTGTTTCCATGCCCTGTTGGTTATGAAATGGCCGAGCAGTTGTGGGACAGTGGCAGAAAAGCTTTAAAAACAAGGAGTTGCGGGAGGTAATCTGCCAGGGCTCAGAGAAACTGAGCACTTTCCCGTGGCAGGCTCTTGGTTGATGATGAATGTTGTGTGCATGTGCGCGCTGGTGTATGTGTGTGAGGGTTTGCTGACCCCCAGTCAATGTAGCACTAGCATGGCAGAGGATAAAGAGGCTAAAACAGTAACCCAATCGTAGACCTCTCTGCAATGTGACTATGGGCTAAGCTTAGAGAGATCAGCGCAACACTTTTCTACTTTCACATCACAAAGAGGTATCTACCTGAATTAACTATGTGTGGCGGCTCCAAAAAAAAAAAAGTACTTTCAAGGTACGGAGTGCTTAACATCACAGAATTCACTATAACTCATAGCACCCAGCCCAGAAACAATCCTTTTTTGTCCCAGGCGGTTCCATTTAATTGATCCACCATGAATAAATGATTCCATCAGCCAGCACAAGCTACAGCCAGCAGCTACAAACTTGGGTATAATTTTCAGTCCTTCCTTGAGCTTTGATTAGCAGGTTAGAGTTGTGAAGTCCTGTTTCTGTTAGCCGAGGACTATCTCCAAAATTGAGCAGTATCTGTCCTAAAGCAATCTTAATAGAGTCTTCTGTCTCTAAGTCGTCTCACTGTGAATACTGCATGTTTTTTTTTTCAAACTCCAATAACGTGTTTCTTTTTTTTTTTGTCAGGACTGATTTAATTCTGGGTGTTTACTTGATTATTCAGTGGTACAGAG